ATATATTTGTACAGTTTTACTTTTACATTTATACCCTATTTCACTCTTCTAACTACATACAACGAAGTGAAGCAACTAACTTACTACCAAACCGATAACTCGCGTGTAGAAGCGCATCCTAGCCGATTGCAGCTCTATTATTCGTCTGAGAAGCCCGAGACCAATTGGAATCAGCACGTATGAGACGTGATGTGTTGACTAAAGAACACGTCAACAAGGCCTACGGTTTCTACAGCTGCCAAGATAATACTCTTTTCTGGTAACACATGCATGCAGTCCATACAAAATTGAGCCAAACTAATTCACCTATAGTTTGAATGCGTTAGTGTCCCTCACATTCACAGCTTTTGTATTTATTTATATTATATTTCTTTTTGATTGTTTTGAAAGGTGTCATCTATTTCTTGAAATAAACAGTGATAAGGATCACAGTTCCCGCGCTTTTGTTTTTTTGGCCAAATTAGGAACATATTGGCTTTTTTTAGTGCATGTTAAATTTTTAGATGGCCATGTGCAAGTACATAAATACATACATATGGTAAGCATTCACAGCCTTGTACTATTTAGGAGGCTGTGCAGAATTGTACTGTTTTTATAATACTCCATCCTTTGTATTATGCACATGTACCTATTACTTTGTATAGTATTGGATACCGTCACATGTACAGTATGTAGACTTTCTATGCTTAGAAGTACTTGATATAGCAACATATACTGTCACATACAAAGTGTATAGACATATATACGTTTAATTTGGTGCTGATTTGACACGGTACTGCTTTGTGAGAGAAACTCCATCTACCGTCGAGCTTTGCACCAGATATATAACAAGGACACTGACTATAAAGGATGCTGCGCAGATAAGCGCGGAATAAACTGCAAACAATACTGACAATACTGACTCTTCAAAGTTAGTTTCGATTGAGAAGTAGTCAGTACAACAAGCGTTCCATCATATATCCGACGATAGCCAACATGCCCACTATACTATCTGTTTCTGGGGATGTGCAGGAAGCTATCATATTGCATCTCTCCATATCGGACACAGGCGCACTGGCAGATACTTGCACTTTGTTGAAGCAGCAAGTGTTAACCATTACAAACACCTCCTGGCAAAGGATAGAACGCAATTCGCTACGTAGAATAATTCGGATGATAGAGGATTCCGATTCCGGGGGTAACTACAAGAAAAGGAAACACACTGTAGTCATCCATGACGAATTGTCAGCTCTGCTCCTCAGAGTTGTTAATACCACAGGTGTTAAGAGTGCACTGGCGCTAGTACAATCACATCCGTCTCCGCGATTTGTACAGTCTATATTCTCAGTGGCTGTCTCTTACGGCTTGAGCGAGCTGATTTTGAGTATGATTATCAGCGAGGCGATAGACTTCAGGACTCCATATCGTATGCTTTACAAGCATGCAAGCATATCTGTTCTGGCTGATGTGTGGGCAAGCGTACTTTTCTGGGATACTCTTGTTAGCAATATAAATTCGACAGAAGAGTATACCCGAGACACCACAGAGGACATCGATGTCTCTCTGGCTGTTCCTCAAATATTTATACTCGGCTGCACACCCAGACTACTATCACATTCGCCACAGACTGATATTAATTGCAATGAGCCTACAAATCCGCATGATATTGGCACGATGTATGGCTTGCAGCAATGTCACGAACAAACACTCAGAGATGTCAGTGCGAAAACTGCCAACTGGTACACGAATCAGCTCCCAAAATTCAATCTTGATGGCACTATGGTATCAGAACATATGCTCAAGAGTGTGTCAAGCGCACTGACAACCAATGAATCGTTCCTGGTCGCATGGGAGTACGGTGGCGAGGACGCGGCATACCTATTGGTTATGCGCGTGCGTACTATTCCGGATGATTGTGAACTGCACTTTAAATATACATGTAAACTGGCCAGACACTGTGCTATGCTGCAACGAATAGTTAGAGGCTTGGTAGAACTTGGTCAGACATAGTCAGCAAACGACCACAAGAGCCGACAGTGGAATGTTCGATTAGCCCTACTTGACAGCGAAGTATGAGCCCAAGTTGCGAGACATCGACACAAACAAATATGAACTGGGCGTATATGAGTTGCCCTCATCCCGAATTCCGCATAGAAGCTCACTACAGAACCTATTACTGATCGTTACCAAATTGTTAGAGTACATGCGCGCGGGGTGACTGCTTACTGAGGCCTGGACTGTGACAGTAAATCTTGTGTGAGGGACCTTATAACCATGAAATCCATTTATGTATTGCCTTGAGCTATCGAATGTTTGGACTATTCTGATATACATGTACTCTTTCAATTCATGAAAGTTCTTGGCTTAAGTGCGCTTGCCACAGTTTGTGTCAGGCTTTGTGGACATACTTAGAAATATGTGCGGTTGTAGGTTCCACTCTCCTCGTTGTGTTTAGATTGCAGTAATGACTCGACACCTGTACTTTTGGAGCCGTAACATTGTTCGCTCTACTCTAGTTGGATAGGCTTCACGAGCGAAAATATGCTTTCGAATTGTTCTTTGTGCAGATCTTTTTAATACACGACCTGGAATCATTTTCCCGATGTTGAGGGAATCGGTAAATTCAAAGCGCATTTTAATTGAATATCATCCTTCAGAGCTAAGCCTTTAGGGTACCGATGTATTTAAACCGTTGAAGGTTCCGTTCAGCTCATTACTTCGATGCAAAATTCTTTGACAGAGATGCTTCCGTACGCTGAGAGAATGCCCTATTTCTATTGATTCTGTCTTCCAAGGACCCAATACCAGCGATAGCGTCTCGCTCCATCTATAAATGAGGGGATTATACATATTTACAATAGCGCCAGAATAATATTAAATATCCGTAAGATTGTCTAGATACATACTCGGTAATCGTAGAGTTGTGATGTAGAAAGAGAAATGCACCCAAAAATAAACCGAACATTGGCCTATAACAGTAGTTCACTATCTATTTCACTGCGCTATCGCTTTGTCAACGTCCATACTTTCTCAATGAAGCCTGCCCGTTTATCGCCTTCGTGGTCTTTCATCCTGGAACTTTTCTCTCGCTCTTCTTCTTCTTTCTGCGCACTGTAGCCGTCTGCGATGCGCGTGATGCGCTCGGTCTCCACAGTAACCACATTGTCCTGAGGACAGTGCATTTAATTGGTCAGACCGGATCAAAATCTACGAACTATGTATGATTTTAAAACCTTTTTGGGGAAGAATTCTTGGCGAAGAAACTTTTCCGAGAAATCTCAAAGCGCCGAATATACACTGCCACTTGCATATGTGTATCAGGAACCGCTTCACAGTCGTGTCACAATGTCATCACATCAGAAGAATAATCAACAGGGACATTCTGAGAAGTCAAGCATAATTCGTCTCAATGCGAGCCGCAATAAATTAGTATTTCGCAGGACACAAAGTAATTTAGTTCTAGAGTGCGAGTAACGATATGAAAGTACGAATGTAAAGAGACTAAATCAAATTGTGGAGTCTCTCTTGTTGATACTTACCTGCATCTCAGCTAATCTTCTCGATTTTTCTTCGGGGTCTAATGCCACTCGTTTCCTACCATTCCGTTGCTGAGCTCCGCCAGATTCGTTCCTAGTACTGCCCCTTTCCTTAGAGGCATTGCTCGCTTTTCTGTCGTCATCACCAGACCCGACACGTGCTTGCGGACTCATACTTCTACTCCGACCCCTTTGTTTAGATTCACTCTTTCTATAATCTTTCCTAGCAGGGCTGCGACTACGACTACGACTGCGACTACGACTTCTGCGCTTGTGCCGTACCCCGTTTCTCGGTTCACTTCGATGTTCCGACGTGTGTCTATCTCTGGCAGACCTTGAAGTGTGTCTCTGTGTGTCTCGCCTCCTGTCAGTGCCTCGGCGATGGCTGTCTCGTCCACTTCTATCATTAAATCTGTCTGGGTTTTCACTTTTGTCATCGTTTCCATGCCCATACCCGTCTCTATGTCTATCTGATTTCTCTCTTAGACGGTCGGGTGAACGACCTCTGTGTCCATCTGAACTTTGCGCCTCTACGCTTCTCGGCTTGTCTTTGTGGTCTCTCTCACTATCTTTTGCTACATCTCTGTCTTTTTCTGAGCGACTTACTGCCCTCGAGCGCCTACTGATTCTTTCTGCGCTCTGACTCTCCCGTCGGCGAGTCCCCTTACTTTCACTATTACTAGCTCCAATCCTTTTTACGTCTGTTGCGATATTATAATCTCGGATGCCTGTAGGTGATCGACTTCGCTTACGTTCGTCAATAGATCGTCTCTTATTCTCTGTGCGACCATTCTCTGACACACTCCTTTCGACCCCTGCGCGTCTTTTGCCGCCAGCCTTATGTCCATTGTGGTCGTTAGCCTCATCAGAACTAGCAGATGAATCAGAATGCCCATGTTTCCGTGAATGCTTTGCCCGTTTCGAATATTTGTCTTTCTTGTTCTTTTTTTCTTTCTTATCTTTCTTGTTCTTCTTCTTCGCATTTATCCCCATCAGTTCTTGCAGTTGCTTCATCTTCATCGGATTATTTCGAATCTCCATTACCTGCCAAGGGAGAAAGACTCCACTTTAGTAAAACTGTGAATATGACGATAGACTTTGCGCACACAACTGATAACGAAGCCTAGTTTCGAAGAACCTACCTGATCTTTCTGTCGTTTCTTGATAAGATACATGGGATCTTCGCGTATTTTTGCTGCCAGGTCAGTGGTGGTTCCACTTGATGATGTTTGAGCGCCTACTCCTGGAACTGAGGTGAGAGCAAGCTTCTCTGCCTCGGCCTCGTCTTCCTGGCCAGGTAACTTCTCAATTCGTTTGCCTAAAAGAAACTCCTCCTGGGAAGAGTGATGTAAGAGTGTAACCGTGTGAAATGGAGCGTACACAGATTATGCAAGCTCTATATTGTGATCCCATGGCCCACAGATATAACTTCAATTTGCTTCATCGACAGAATGCTAAAATATATAAAACCATGGCCCTGGTCATCTGTATCCCGTAAGTGAAGATGTAGAATATGAGTAAATATATGGGGAAATTGAGTGATGAAAACAAAATTCCGTATTTCAGATACGTGGCAAATTCGTGATATACCGTTCACGAAAAAGTACATAATTGATATAGATATATAAATATATATATATATATATATTTATATATATGTATGTCAATATATATATATATATATATATACACAGTAGATA